CCTCTGGGGGAGACGCCACAGGAGCCCCCCCCCCCGCCCCTGCCCCCGACCCCTCCGGTGCTGCCGACAACACGACCACGAAAACACGCACACACACACACACACATCCCCCCTCCCCAACCCGGACCACCCTCATGGCCACCCTACCTACCCTTGCTGCCACCCCTCCCCACCTGGCCACCCTCCTCCTCCTCCTCCTCCTCCTCCGGGCAAGGGTCTCTCCCCCGCCGCTAGCCCGGTGGGCACCCACCCCGGCCGGCGGGGCTCGGGACCCCCGGGGGTCGCTGGCTGCCCCCCCCTCTGCTCACAGGAGAACAAGGCTGGGGTTGCGCAGCTGCCTGTAGATGTGCAGGAGCTTCTCTGCTGTCACAGCTCCCTCCTCGCCCGGGGGGGGCTGGTCCCGCAGGGTCTGCGCCTCCTTCAACAGCATCTGTGCAAGGGGGATGGAGGATGAGAGATGCACATCGGCTCAAGGAGGGAGAAGGGGGGGGTCCCAATGGTGTGCACCCCCCCGGGGAGGGCAGCAGGGCACGGTGGGTGCGTGGCTCACCTCGTGGTTGGCCTGGATCTGGCGCAGGTACTGCATGCGGAGGTCGGGGGGTCCTGAGCCCTGCGCTGCCTGCTCCAGCACCAGCGCCTGTGGGGACCAAAAGCTCTGCTGGGGGGGGTGCCCTAAGGAGCCCCAACCACAGCATTGGGCAGGAGGTAGGTTCTCCAGTGCCAGCTGCACTGCCCAGCACTCCCTAGACCTTGGAACCACGCTTGCTGGTGCCAAAGCATGCGCCTCCTTCAACAGCATCTGTGCAAGGGGGATGGAGGATGAGAGATGCACATCGGCTCAAGGAGGGAGAAGGGGGGGGTCCCAATGGTGTGCACCCCCCCGGGGAGGGCAGCAGGGCACGGTGGGTGCGTGGCTCACCTCGTGGTTGGCCTGGATCTGGCGCAGGTACTGCATGCGGAGGTCGGGGGGTCCTGAGCCCTGCGCTGCCTGCTCCAGCACCAGCGCCTGTGGGGACCAAAAGCTCTGCTGGGGGGGGTGCCCTAAGGAGCCCCAACCACAGCATTGGGCAGGAGGTAGGTTCTCCAGTGCCAGCTGCACTGCCCAGCACTCCCTAGACCTTGGAACCACGCTTGCTGGTGCCAAAGCATCTCCAGGAAGGGTACCAGCCCCCACGTGCCGGGGGACCCCACTCTGTTCAGCTGCCAAACTGAGCAGGGTTGGTTCCTGGGGTGATGGCAGGGACCTCCTGGAGTTCCATGGCCCAAACTCCCAGAGCTGAGGCTGGGGTCTGCCATGTGCCAGGCTGGTTTGCCACACGGTGGTGCCAGGAAAACCCTCCTGTCCCTCGGCAGGGGCTGAGCGTACCTGGATGCGCCGGATGACAGCGTGGTGCATCCTGCACATGTGGGCCAGGGACGGGCTCTCCATCAGGATCTCCACGGCCTGGATGGGACCCGCCGGGCTGAGGTCGTTCATGGCCACCTGTGACAGCCAGCACAATCCTCACTGCAAGCAATCATCGCCGGGCAGGGCAGGGCAGGGGGTGAGGGTGGCCCCAGGACCCCTCTTCACGGGCACTGGGCTCCCCAGGGGGCTCTCCTTCCCCATGGCACACGGTGGTGCCAGGAAAACCCTCCTGTCCCTCGGCAGGGGCTGAGCGTACCTGGATGCGCCGGATGACAGCGTGGTGCATCCTGCACATGTGGGCCAGGGACGGGCTCTCCATCAGGATCTCCACGGCCTGGATGGGACCCGCCGGGCTGAGGTCGTTCATGGCCACCTGTGACAGCCAGCACAATCCTCACTGCAAGCAATCATCGCCGGGCAGGGCAGGGCAGGGGGTGAGGGTGGCCCCAGGACCCCTCCTCAAGGGCACGGGGCTCCCCAGAGGGCTCTCCTTCCCCATCCCTACTCCCTGCACCCCCCAACCCATTTGCTCTCCAGGTAAACGCAGCCTGGATGGTGCCAGCCCAGCTGGGCACATCAGACCCTTTGCCCGACCCCTTCGAGGGGCATTTGCCCCCATCCCAGCTCTGGTGGCCATCAGGTTGTCCCTGCACCCCCCAACCCATTTGCTCTCCAGGTAAACGCAGCCTGGATGGTGCCAGCCCAGCTGGGCACATCAGACCCTTTGCCCGACCCCTTCGAGGGGCATTTGCCCCCATCCCAGCTCTGGTGGCCATCAGGTTGTAGAAAGAGCCCTCACCAGCTCCTCCAACCTCAACCCGGGGGTTACCACCGTGGGGAGAGTGGATGCCCGTTCCCCGACGAGCCGCGGGGCTGCCACCCCAGCAGATTTAATCCTGGGGCTTAGCCCAAGCAGAATTAAGGCTGTCACTAATCACATTGGTGATATTAGTGCTCCCAAGTGTGAATCGACCCGCGCCAGGTCACTGCCAGCACGCAGGGGGCTGGGCCCCTCGGCACGGGGTCAACCAGCCGTGGTGGCAGAGCTGGGCACCAATTCCTGTTTCCCCTTTGCTCTCAGAGGGGGGATATTCGCATGAAAAGGGGGGAGATGAGCTGCAGCAGATCAGATTTACACCCCGAATCCAGCTGCGTTTTCCCTCTGGCTTTGCAGAGCCAGCAAAGCACGACCAGCCAAACCAGGAGGGAAAACCCAGTTCTTCCCCCAACCCAGCCCGATGCCAGGTGGGGGCACGGCCATTCTCCAAGGTTATTGCATCTCAGGGGGGCTGGGGAAGAGGAGCAGGAGCCACAACTGCTCCAGGGGAAGAGCAGCAGCACAAAGGTCCCTCAAGGATCCTGCGGATCAGCGAAGGGATGCAGGGAGGGGAGAGGCCACCTGCCTTTGCCCTCACGAGGCTGGTTTGCCGTGCAGGGACACAGCAGGAGCCCACTGCCCTGCCTGGCAGGGATATGGGATCATCTGGGGGGCACACACCCTCTCGAGGAGCAGGAGCCACAACTGCTCCAGGGGAAGAGCAGCAGCACAAAGGTCCCTCAAGGATCCTGCGGATCAGCGAAGGGATGCAGGGAGGGGAGAGGCCACCTGCCTTTGCCCTCACGAGGCTGGTTTGCCGTGCAGGGACACAGCAGGAGCCCACTGCCCTGCCTGGCAGGGATATGGGATCATCTGGGGGGCACACACCCTCTCGGAGGAGGAGGGAAGTTGCCACAACCTTTGGGAAGACCAGGATTGGGAGAAGGGGGGCTGGTAGCCCAGCACACAAGCCCCAGCCCCAGTGCAGCACCCTGACCCTGGGGATGCCAGCACGGCGAGGGTCCATACATCACCCAGCTGGGGCAGGGGGTGTGGGACAGAGCCAGCCCCATGGGATGGGGGGTACGGGGGGGGTTTTCTCTTCAGGGCTAACCCATTCCTTGCCTCTCGGACAAGCAGCTGCACCTCTCCTCCGTCGGGTGCCGTGCCACGCACCGAGGCCACCTCCTCGCTGCTCAGCGCCGCGGCCCCGGCGTTCTCCGCCAGCAGCCAGCGCAGCGTGGCACAGCTCAGCAGGACATCTGGGGACAAAAGGAGAGAAAGAAAGAGCTCGTTACGCCGCTGAATTGCCCCCCCGGTGGCTCGGCAGCCCTTCTCAGGCCAGGGCGACGCGGCAGGGAGCAGTGTGTGCCCGGTGCAGCCCCTGTGAAGCCAGGGCTGGCACTGGGGCCGTTCCCCTCCCCGCTGGGACAAGCTGAGCTCAGTCACACAACTGCCATCGCGTCCACGTGCCAGCCCACGAGCGGACACGTGCTGGGGTGGCAACTATGGAGGGTGAGGCAGCCCTCCTCGCCCAAGAAAGGGGCCGGTGACCACCCCAGCCTGCATGCACGGGCTGTGACAGTGCCACCCTGGCCTCTCCCGGGGTGGCCACAAGCTGGGATGCCACCACCTCTCCCCACAGAGCTCCCGGGATGCTCCTCTCCAGGGACCCACCTGAGCCGGAGGTTTTCAGTGCGGTTTTTAGCAGCTCCGAGGACACCCTGATGGATGCTGCCGAGGGTGGCGGGTTTTCCTCTCCTGGGGCGTGGGGCAGCTCATCTGCTTTCACCCCCTCGGGTTCAGTCTGCTCCT